ATGGAGACTAAATGTATATTGTCTTCGGGCAGAAATAAAACGCTTGATAACTGCACTTGTCATGCGACCTTCAATTCTCAGGGTCACGATCTTCTTCACACTTACACCCCCTACAGCCCTAACAAAGCTGGTGGGATAAAGCCAGTCCTCTCAACTTTCTTCTCCTTCTTCTTCTGCCTTTCTATCCCCCAATGGAGCATAGGCCCTCAACCAACTCACACCAAGTCGTTCTTTTCTTCGCCATTGCAAGGAGCTCTCCCCATGTCCTCCCCATCTTTTTAACTTCATTCTCCAGCTCTCTTCTCCGTGTGTTTTTGGCCTTACTTTATTCCTATGCCCCTGTGGGTTCCAATGCAAAAACATTCTAGTTATGCTGTTTTCCTGTTTTCTTAGTGTGTTCTATCCAACGCCAGCGTCTTCTCCTCACCTCTTGGTCCACCGAGCCTGTTTAGTTCTCCCCCAAAGCTCTACATTAGTTATTCTATCATACCATTTAATTCCTTCTATTCTGCGCAGTTAATGAATGTTTGTAGTTTATAGTAATCGCCATAGTAGTTCTCCATGTTTCCGCCTCTCAACTTTAACTTTACTTAACTAACCTTCGCGCATTCTGAAACGTTTTCGTCCTTTATATTGAAGTGAGGACAATTTATAGCTCAAACAAAGGCAGCATTTTACAAATTGAAGGTTCTGTGCAATCTGTCTTTGTCAACTGAGACGAGAAAAACAATTCTCAAGAGCTTTATAAATCATATTAGGGTATACGGAGATGAATCATGGACTGTGGACTTTTAGTGACACTTGAAGGTGTGGTTTTACTGGCAAATGTTGAAAATATGCTGGACAATTTTTTGTTAAAGAAAATTAAAAGGTTTGAAGATACTTTGAAAGAAATTGATTCACGAAAAAATCTGATTGCCGACATAAGAACGAGACAGTGTACATTCTTTAGTCATGTCACTAGAAGGTGAAAACAGAAGTACATCGTGACAGTCGGAAAGTTGAAAGGGAAAAGAGGCAGAGGGAGACCGAGAGAGAAGGGAGACCAAGAGAGAAGGGAGACAGAGAGAGAAGGAAGACCGAGAGAGAAGGGAGACCGAGAGAGAAGGGAGACCGAGAGAGAAGGGAGACCGAGAGAGAAGATGCTGGATAGTGTGCAACCATGCCATAAGAGGCCATCTATGTTAGAACTGACTGAAAGTACACGAGACATGACTACCAGTGCCACACGGCATATACTGTAATACGAAGAGAAAGTACACAAGACAGAAGGTTGTGGATAGACATGACTACTAGTGCCACGCGACATATAATGTAATACGAAGAGAAAGTACACAAGACAGAAGGTTGTGGATAGACATGACTACCAGTGCCACACGGCATATACTGTAAGAAGAAGAGAAAGTACATGAGACAGAAGGTTGTGGATAGACATGACTACTAGTGCCACACCGCATATACTGTAAGAAGAAGAGAAAGTACACAAGACAGAAGGTTGTGGATAGACATGACTACCAGTGCCACACGGCATATACTGTAAGAAGAAGAGAAAGTACACGAGACTGAAGGTTGTGGATAGACATGACTACTAGTGCCACGCGACATATACTGTAGGAAGAAGAGAAAGTACATGAGACAGAAGGTTGTGGATAGACATGACTACTAGTGCCACACGGCATATACTGTAAGAAGAAGAGAAAGTACACAAGACAGAAGGTTGTGGATAGACATGACTACTAGTGCCACGCGACATATACTGTAATACGAAGAGAAAGTACACAAGACAGAAGGTTGTGGATAGACATGACTACTAGTGCCACGCGACATATACTGTAAGAAGAAGAGAAAGTACACAAGACAGAAGGTTGTGTATAGACATGACTACCAGTGCCACACGGCATATACTGTAATACGAAGAGAAAGTACACAAGACAGAAGGTTGTGGATAGACATGACTACCAGTGCCACACGGCATATACTGTAATACGAAGAGAAAGTTCACAAGACAGAAGGTTGTGGATAGGCATGACTACTAGTGCCACGCGACATATACTGTAAGAAGAAGAGAAAGTACACGGGCAGAAGGTTGTGTATAGACATGACTACCAGTGCCACACGGCATATACTGTAAGAAGAAGAGAAAGTACACGAGACAGAAGGTTGTGGATAGACATGACTACCAGTGCCACACGGCATATACTGTAAGAAGAAGAGAAAGTACACGGGACAGAAGGTTGTGGATAGACATGACTACCAGTGCCACACGACATATACTGTAATACGAAGAGAAAGTACACAAGACAGAAGGTTGTGGATAGACATGACTACTAGTGCCACACGACATATACTGTAATACGAAGAGAAAGTACACGAGACAGAAGGTTGTGGATAGACATGACTACCAGTGCCACACGGCATATACTGTAAGAAGAAGAGAAAGTACACAAGACAGAAGGTTGTGGATAGACATGACTACCAGTGCCACGCGACATATACTGTAAGAAGAAGAGAAAGTACACGAGACTGAAGGTTGTGGATAGACATGACTACTAGTGCCACACGGCATATACTGTAAGAAGAAGAGAAAGTACATGAGACAGAAGGTTGTGGATAGACATGACTACCAGTGCCACGCGACATATACTGTAAGAAGAAGAGAAAGTACATGAGACAGAAGGTTGTGGATAGACATGACTACCAGTACCACGCGACATATACTGTAAGAAGAAGAGAAAGTACACGAGACTGAAGGTTGTGGATAGACATGACTACCAGTGCCACGCGACATATACTGTAAGAAGAAGAGAAAGTACACGAGACTGAAGGTTGTGGATAGACATGACTACTAGTGCCACACGGCATATACTGTAAGAAGAAGAGAAAGTACACGAGACTGAAGGTTGTGGATAGACATGACTACCAGTGCCACACGGCATATACTGTAAGAACGAGAGAAAGTACACTTCAGGCGAAGCTCCCTTTCACACAGTTAGTTCCCTCCACTGGGTTCCCCTCATAGATTTCGCTTCATCGAGTTTACTTCATTAAGCTGAGGCTATGAAGGCATTTCTCAGACGCATGTGCTTTAGGAAACAACCCCAGCGAGAGGCAGGAATTCTGTTTGTCGACAAACTTCATAAAATGTCAGGGTATCAGATATCACTCTCCCTCGATGAGACTATTAAGTGTTCTCATGTTTTTGTGCCCATATTTATCATTTTGAGTTTTACTGCGGGTTCTTTTGAGAAAATAATTAGTTGTGAGTATCGTTATCTAAGAGCTTGAAACTTTCAAGCTTCATCACAAGATCTGATCAAGGGTATTCACAGTAGGAAAATACTAACATTCTTCATTATGTGAATATCGGAAGGGACTGGTAAATAAATAATATAGTTTCTTCTTCATCTTGAAGTGCATGTTGTGTGACGTTGGTAGTCACGTCTAGTCACAATTTTTGGTGTGTGCCTTGGGTACTTTTAGTCAATTCTGATACAAATTATTAAAGACAAAATGTCACAGATAGCACCTGATTCTAGCCTTGTATATAACTAATGCCATACTTAGATGGTCATTTTTAAAACTAGAGCTGGCAAGGAAAGAAATCTGATTATATTTTGGGAATCAGCGAAATGTGTCTATACCAATTATATCAATACACGTTGGTCGCAGACTGAAATACTTGTACTTAGCCCCATATTAAGCCTCACAATGATTTGGAGAGAATATTGTTGGAGGGGGGGGGGTGGCGGGGGTCTTTCAAAGAAGAAGCAGCGAACGACCAGCACGGCCATTGACCTAGAATGTCAAGGACACCCTTCATCTAAAAGGTCATGAGGGGAGAAAGTTGACGTAACCGAGTTTATTTCCGGCGTGAAGTAATGACAGCGATGTTCTGTAGAAACCTGCTATACCATGATCCTGATGACCATTCGGAATTGATCAATTTTAAATTACCTTAAGTGATAGTTCAGGACTGTTCAGCTGACGGCCAGCGGGCCGTATCCGGCCAGCAGAGATAGTAAGTGGCCCGTGGATCATTGCCAACTGTTTTGAACTAATTATCTTTCTAAGCTGTGGCCTCGTCCTCTGATCCGTGATGATCCTCGTGTTACACATTTTGACCCTTGAGTATTCTTAGTTGAATAGTCTTGTGTTAGTTTCACGTCCATTGAATATTCATGATGAAAGCTGAATATTCATGATGTTAGTTAAAGATAACAGATTTTAGTTAACGATTCTTTTATTCCCTGATGATTTTAAAACTGTGCAACTGGTCGCTGCTATATTTGTGTTCGCACGTGTGTGTATGTGTGTTAGTATGTAAGTGTGTGTGTGTTTTGCTTTGTCAAGCGATCTGAGTGTTCATTAAACCGTTATTTAAGTATGGGACTAATTTCGCTTTGATGACACATGTTGTGTTCATTTGGTAAAGCGTTGCTTCATGTGTTTTGCCGCTAACATCCCCAGCATTAAACTTACCTAGCAATTGTTGAGTTCTACCTCCTTAGCCACCCATTAGGAACCTTTTCCACGCCTTCATTCCTATTGGACATACAACACCAGACCTGTATTTTTTTGACCAATCGGCACTCAGTGGGTGATGTGGCCAACCAGACCTGTATTTTATTGACCAATCGGCACTCAGTGGGTGATGTGGCCAACCAGACCTGTATTTTATTGACCAATCGGCACTCAGTGGGTGATGTCGCCAACCAGACCTGTATTTTATTGACCAATCGGCACTCAGTGGGTGATGTGGCCAACCAGACCTGTATTTTATTGACCAATCGGCACTCAGTGGGTGATGTGGCCAACCAGACCTGTATTTTATTGACCAATCGGCACTCAGTGGGTGATGTGGCCAACCAGACCTGTATTTTATTGACCAATCGACACTCAGTGGGTGATGTGGCCAACCAGACCTGTATTTTATTGACCAATCGGCACTCAGTGGGTGATGTCGCCAACCAGACCTGTATTTTATTGACCAATCGGCACTCAGTGGGTGATGTGGTCAACATCACACCGACCGCCGTTACTTCCCGTGATTTTAAATCTTACCCATTTAAAGCTGGGTCGATCAAGGTCATTTTTGAAAAAGTCCGACTCCGTAGCCATCATCCATTAGAGCTACCGTAAATTTCATAGTACAAGACAGTCTGCTGTATAAATCGACCCCAGGATGTTTAGCCCAAAATACTGAATTGGTCGTCTATACCTGAGAAACGAATTTTATACTCGTCATATAAATGGATCCCTAGTTTTGAAGAAGAAATATTACGGCTTCAGAAATGGACTTATACGCCGCAATTTACAGTATCAAGACTCCCCCGTAAGGCAACGGTCATGAATCATGACAACAGTGCTATTTTGTTGTTGACATCTTTCCGTCTGTACAATATTATTATATGGTGCTATGAGGAGGCATGGGACTCACATCCCATGGTGATGGCGAGTGTGACTAGCAAGACATGCTCGCGTTACTAACAGCGAGGTTCCTTCTCTATATCCCACAGAACCGGTGCCGTATTGTAGAGACCTTGTATTGCCTATGCATCGTGGTCCTCTCTCCGCCTCCATTGTTTGCAACGAAGAAAAGGTAACACCAATACGTTCGAAATAAAGCACGCTACAGAAGATGCCAGATCAGAAGAGCAGTGCTCTATCTGTAAGCCTGTCGGAGCTTCCCTCCTAGACCAGCTGCCAGCCAAGGCTAAGGGCCTAGTCTGCCCTGCCATCACATAAAGCTTTCAGGCTGCATTTCCTCTTCCTAGGATAAGGCTAGTATTCTTCCTAAGGCGATTCTCCGCCTCAAACCGTTATTAGATACCTTATTATTGCTGGCTAGATACAGCGAAATGTGCCTAGGAATCAGCTATAATTATACCAACTGCCAAAATTTTAGTACTTTTGCGGTGTAGGCAGGGTGGTTTTTGAACCTGGGGATTTACGGCCGCAAGGCTAGTGCTGTCGCCACGGCTGTGCAGGTGACTATTTTATTTTGCCCCCGATAAAAAAAATTCTCAGCCTTACCGAGGATTCGAACCTGGGTCTCCCACTTGAGAGCCCAGCGTTCTAACTGCTCAATCGTATAGTTTGTTTCTGCATTTCTAAACTATGTTACTTGGCTGTGAACTTCTTACAGTGGCAGCGAAATTATCTGATTTAATCGAACTTGAGGTTTGATCCCAGTTGCGACAATAGCAAACTATTGGACGTAAATTTGCCTAGAAAAACCATACAACAGCCAGGGGTTGTTGGGGTTGGTTCTGCAACGTCCTGTAATAGATACTCAACTAACCTAAACGAACTTCATTGCTGCAGTCGCCGTCTGATTAGCTGGAAACAGGGCCGGGTTTGGATTGGCTGGAAACAGGGCCGGATTTGGATTGGCTGTTATCAGGGCCGGATTTGGATTGGCTGGAAACAGGGCCGGATTTGGATTGGCTGTTATCAGGGCCGAATTTGGATTGGCTGGAAACAGTGCGGGATTTTGATTTGATGAAGCCGACTTAATGAGGCCCTAAGGTGTATAACGCACTGAGGTCCCTGGTTTTCAAATTACACCAGCTAATCTCAGAAAACTTTAAAATTTATACTTTTTTTCTTAAATTTAGGAATAACACAAATTTTGTTTACTTTTATGTAAATTAAGGAACTTTTAAAATTACACTATTTATGGGGAAATTGAATTTGTTGAGGCTCCTGCAGCTTGTGAGGCCCTGATCTTTAGCTTGTTTAACTTAAACCTAAATCCAGCATGGGCTGGAAATGCTCGGTATAAGTATTAATAAATAATTCACGAATCCAGTGACAATTTCCTCATCAAAATAATATTTATATTTTAATGTGCCTGCAGAATAAAACATAAATCTCCATTTAAAATTTGTATAAAGTCATGTTATTGCTTCAAAATGTACTTAATATTACATTACGAACCTGGAAAAACTTGATTTAAGTTGATTCGTTTCCCAGGTCTGTTCTAAAATCACTTTAAGATCGTTTATATGTTTATACCTGATCGCTGCAAGCCGTGTGTTTATGCTACTGCTTATTTGCATTGTGGTGTCGTTGTTTGCATTGTGGTGCCAGTATTGTGTTGCTGTTATCGGTGTATTGGTTTCAATGTTATTTTTCTTTACTCTGTACTGGCTTGAATTCCTGCATCGCGTGAGTGTGATCATGCTTGCTTGATGATACTCTGTAACTATGCGCACATGCTTGCACCTGCTTTGTAATCATTAACATCATCTTTATTTCTGTGCCGTCTTCTCAATATAAGCAAGGTGTAGTTAATATGTTCATCAGTTGCTCTGTAATTCCAAAGTACCGCGATCAAAACCCACTGCTGGCTGCGTGGATTTTTATCATGGCATGGGGCTTCGCTGATCGACCCAGTCTAAAATGGGTACCAGGATGGCTGTCCTGGGGAGGTAAAGACGGCTGGCGTAACGTTGACCACATTACCCACCTAATGCCGATTGGTCTGTAAAAATATGGGATGCTCTTCCCATATGCCCGATGCGCCTATGGCGTGAGAAGAGATCTTTACTTTACTTACTTATAAGCTTTCATCTATTATTATCTTTATGTTTAAAGTCGACAGGATCGACTTCATTGCATTAGGTTTTATCCCATATAGCTGGGTCTCTCTCAGTAGAATGGTGAGTCGAGAACCTCGCACCAAGCACAAACTCTCCAGCTATATCGACGATCCACTAGGAAGATACATAAGAATGTGCACTAGGGAATCCAAATATGCAGTTGGTGAATCGAACCCTCGACTTTCAGAAAGTGAAGCAAACGGCTTTACTACTTTTTACAAGACGTTGCAGAACCAACTACATCATGTTTTTTGCTCTTGTGATTTTGCTAGGCAAATTTTATGTTCAGTAGTTTGCTATTGTTTACTGAACAGTCAGCACTCGGTACACTGTCGAAACCCACCCAAGACATATAGTCCGCAGCTGGGATCGAACCTGGCACCCTGGCATTACGAAGCGCGTTCACAGCGACCAAGCGACAGACGCAGACTTAACCACTTAAGACACAAAAATCATATGTTCAGTGTTCGAGGATAATTTTCTTACTGTTTCATTCCGCTATCATATATCCACGCTTTTAGTTTTAATGATATCATGATTCTCGTTATTTTTTTTTTTTTTTTTTTGAGAATTATCTCAGCTATCAGCATCTTCTCCATTGTTTATATGATGTGCTAGTGTTATATTTGCGAGAATTATTTTCACCTTTCACATGTCTTCTGACTGCTTTTAAGGTGCGTTCAGATTGGTACTATAGAGAACTTTTTCTGTGTTCGTCCATAAAATTCTGACTGGCACGTTGTGTTGTGATTTACAGCTAGGCTGCGATGTCTGCGCTTTCAGCCCAACATATTCGATTTCAGCAACCTTCCAGTAAGACACCTTTTGTGACATTCTTATTATTAGGAAGTTGGTCTTCCTCCCCCCTAATAGTACCAGTTATATGTTGATAACAAGTCTCTGCTGTGTCTAGAGTGCGTCTCGTTTTTTGCTATGCCGATCTTAATTCCTAAGTCTGCCATTCTGGCAAGTGATGTGAAGTCACTGCCCCCAAAGTCCTCTATCCTTCTCATTTCTCTAAGGGCATTTACTCTAGATAATCTAATAAGATAATCTAACTTCTAACTCATAACTCATAACTCCGTAGCCCCCTATTAACAACAAGAAAAATGTATCTTAAATGTTCAGTGTTATATCTGGGAGAACTATGCCTTATCATCTATCACCACCACCACTTTTCCCCCATTGTTGATTTGGTATAATTGTTCTTATTCTTAATGAAACTATCCCGATTCATTCAGCCGTCCCATATTCTCCTATTGGTTTACTTATGTTTTCATTGTTTTATTTGGAAGAACTTTTCGCACCGTTTCATTCAGCTCGTATATTTCTCTATTTTTTAGACTATGTGTTCATTGTTGTATCTGCGAGAACTGTTCTCACTGCTTCATCCAGCTGTAAACGTTTTATCGCTTCCGTTCCATACCCCGTCCTCCTCAGGTTGTGGCTATCATCTCCATCCTGTTCATCGTGCTGTCCACTATAGCACTGACCCTCAACACCATCCCAGCGCTGCAGGATCGAACAGACCCCTCCCTGAACCAGGACAACGAAGACTTGGCGGTGGTCGAGGCGGTCTGCATTGGCTGGTTCACCCTGGAGTATTTAGCACGTTTCTGGGCCTCGCCAAACAAGTGGAAGTTCTTTAAAGGTCCATTGAACATTATAGATTTATTGGCCATTATGCCATACTTTATCTCCCTTGGACTCACAGAGACTAATAAAAGCACCACCGAGCAGTTTCAGAATGTTCGACGGGTAGTCCAGATCTTTAGAATCATGAGAATTTTACGTATTTTAAAACTAGCACGCCACTCTACTGGACTTCAATCTCTAGGGTATACACTTCAACGTTCCTATAAAGAGCTAGGTATGCTGCTGATGTTTTTAGCCATTTTTATACTGCTCTTCTCGTCACTGGCTTACTTCGCTGAGAAGGACGAGCCGGAGACGAAGTATAAGAGCATCCCCGAGACGTTCTGGTGGGCCGCAATTACGATGACCACAGTTGGTTACGGAGACATTTATCCAAAGACTGTGCTGGGTAAAGTTGTGGGCAGTGTCTGTTGCATCTGCGGCGTATTGGTCATTGCTCTTCCCATTCCCATCATCGTAAACAACTTCGCTGAGTTCTATAAGGACCAGATGAGACGAGAGAAGGCGTTCAAGCGTCGAGAGGCTCTGGAAAAGGCCAAGAGGACAGGGAGCATTGTTTCCTTCCACTCCATCAACCTGAGAGATGCTTTTGCCAGAAGTGTTGACCTCATGGAGGTGAACTCCCCATCCCACAAGGGTCATGTTGAAAGCAACATCGGAGAAACCTGCAGTCTTGACAGTAAAAGAAGCCACGTAGTGGCAATGGGTGGTTGCGGTGTTTCCACGCAGAGCAACAAAATAGAAGAGAGTGCTGTCTACCATCACGACAACGAGTTGCTCACTACCTCAGGGATGCCATCTGGAAGCTGTGTAGGCCTTGGAGCCAACGCTAGTACCAATAATTTACTGGACGCTGACGAGGAATCATTGAAACGTATGACGTCCACACAGCCGCAGATGACCTCACAATCTCAGGTTTGATGTGAATGTGAACTTAATGTGGTTGTTTCTTTCTTGAGAAGGTAATTTTATTTTATTTCTTTAAAAATATTTTTATAGATTTATTTTAGTTTTCAAATGGTTCAAGGTTTATTTAGGGATTTAGAACTGACACAGTACGTCTCCAGTGGGGAGGTCGTCTTTTTTTTTCAACGACACATATTGTCCTTTGATGACGGACGCTAAATGAGCCTCTACTGATATTGCCGCCTTTGATTCCCCATAACTCCGGTATCCTACTATGATTAACGGCAGTGCTGACTGAAAGCAGGGCTAATTGGGGGCTGACAAGCAATGGGCACGACTAATCGGTTGAATGCTCTACCGTGTCAAGACCAGTTTTTTTTTTAAAGTGACCTTGACTCCCAGCCTAACATGGGTACTAGATAAATGTGCTTATAAAAAAAGTTGGTCGGTCTAATGTTGACATCACCATCTATGGAGTGTCGATGATTGTTGACATTACCATCTATGGAGTGTCGATGATTGTTGACAACACCATCTATCGAGTGTCGATGATTGTTGACATCACCATCTATGGAGTGTCGATGATTGTTGACATCACCATCTATGGAGTGTCGATGATTGTTGACATCACCATCTATGGAGTGTCGATGATTGTTGACAACACCATCTATCGAGTGTCGATGATTGTTGACATCACCATTTATGGAGTGTCGATGATTGTTGACATCACCATTTATGGAGTGTCGATGATTGTTTACATCACCATTTATGGAGTGTCGATGATTGTTGACATCACCATTTATGGAGTGTCGATGATTGTTGACATCACCATCTATGGAGTGTCGATGATTGTTGACAACACCATTTATGGAGTGTCGATGATTGTTGACATCACTATCTATGGAGTGTCGATGATTGTTGACATTACCATTTATGGAGTGTCGATGATTGTTGACAACACCATCTATCGAGTGTCGATGATTGTTGACATCACCATTTATGGAGTTTCGATGATTGTTGACATCACCATTTATGGAGTGTCGATGATTGTTGACATCACCATTTATGGAGTGTCGATGATTGTTGACATCACCATTTATGGAGTGTCGATGACTGTTGACATCACCATCTATGCAGTGTCGATGACTGTTGACATCACCATCTATGCAGTGTCGATGATTGTTGACATCACCATTTATGGAGTGTCGATGATTGTTGACATCACCATTTATGGAGTGTCGATGATTGTTGACATCACCATTTATAGAGTGTCGATGATTGTTGACATCACCATCTATGCAGTGTCGATGATTGTTGACATCACCATTTATGGAGTGTCGATGATTGTTGACATCACCATCTATCGAGTGGGGGGGGGGGGATCCAGCACTATATTCCCGATTCACCAAAGGTGGGGAAATGGCCATTTACTTTGCACACCAAGGGAACTGAAATGATGACTACTGGGCCGGCGGCGCCATACCGGCTAGCACTGAAACAGTGAACCAGCATTCAACTTCATGTACAATACATTTCTTTATAGTAACACAACTGACAATGTAATGAATGACGACGGAGGATAACATCAAGGAGAAATTGTAAAGGAGAGGGGAAGGTAGAGGAGGAGGAAGAGGAGAAAATAGATGGAAAACACCATGAAAGAGCTGCAAGAAGGGGGGAAAGAAGAAGAAGAAGTTGAATAGGGAAAAAAAGAAGAAGAAGAAGAAGAAGAAGAAGAAGAAGAAGAAGAAGAAGAAGAAGAAGAAGAAGAAGAAGAAGAAGAAGAAGAAGAAGAAGAAGAAGAAGAAGAAGAAGAAGAAGAAGAAGAAGAAGAAGAAGAAGAAGAAGAAGAAGAAGAAGAAGACGATTAAAAAGACGACAAAGAAGAAGAAGAAGAAGAAGAAGAAGAAGAAGAAGACGATTAAAAAGACGACAAAGAAGAAGAAGAAGAAGAAGAAGAAGAAGAAGATTAAAAAGACGACAAAGAAGAAGAAGAAGAAGAAGAAGAAGAAGAAGAAGAAGAAGAAGAAGAAGAAGAAGAAGAAGAAGAAGAAGAAGAAGAAGAAGAAGAAGAAGACGATTAAAAAGACGACAAAGAAAAAAAAAGTAAGAAGAAAAATACTATTACAAAGACTATGATGACGACGACGATCATAACGACGACGATGATAATGATCCTGATGATGATGATATGTCTGACAACGTAATTAATGAACGCTTTAAAATATGAAGAAGGAAGAGAGGGAAGAGGATAATGTAGAGAATAGAACGGGATTTTTAAAAAGTTGAGAAAGTAGAAAGGAGGAAAGACGGCAAGGAGGAAGAGGTGGAAGAAGAGGAGGAAAAGAAGAAGACCGTAATGATGATGATGGTGGTGGTGGTGGTGGTTATGACGATAAATTGGAGAACAAGGAGGGGGGGGGGTAAGAAAGAATAAGTAAATAAAAGACAGGAAGCGGAGGGGGAACAAGTATACGAGATGCAGCTTCCGCATCATCGAAACAAGTCGAGGCATTCAATCCAAAATTATATATGAGAGATTTTCAGCATAAACCCATTACCTTGAATCTAGCAATGGTACTTCCTCTTCCTTATCATCTTCTTATCTTCTTCCTTATCTTCTTAGTTTCTTCTTCTTCTCTTCTTCTTATTCTTCTTTCTCTTCTGTTTCTTCTTCTTATTCTTCTTTTTCTTGGTCTTCTTCCTTTTCTTCTTCTGCTGCTGCTGCTACTACTAGTACTACTACTTCTTCTTCTTCGTCGTCGTCTTCTTCTTCTTCATCTTCCGCTGCAGCAGTTCCTCTTTTTTATCCCCCAATGGAACATTGTATTGGAACATTTTCAACAATGGAACAGTGTCCCTTCAACCAACTCACACTGTGTCATTTGTAGACTGAAGCCGCCAACAAAGCAAATAGTCACTCTATTGTTTGAGCATCATGTTGTTGTGGGTTACTTTCAGCATCGTGAATAAGGGTATACAATGTGTTGCTATGTATTCCCGCACTCACCTAGTTTCAATCATATTCTCAGGGACGACCAGAAGGCATCAGGGCAGATATGGTCACACCGGACAAAAGCTGCATTGAACTCCAACAGCTGCCACGGCAAAGCAGCAACGCTAGCAGCACCGACACCTACAGCTCCTGCATGACCCAGCCTCATGGCAGCCCCAAGGCTCACGGAAGTGGTGTTGGAATTGGAGACAGACATAAGCAGAACCTGTATGTGAACCCCATGGATGATTCTTCCAGCCTGGGACAGGAGGTAGTGCAGTCCCCAGGGGGAACTTGCTATGACACTGTGTTCAAAGAATCTCATCCTGATCCTCCACCTCACCTTCCTCAACCTCATCATTTGTTCCACCACCACCATCATCAACAACCTAGGCGTCCACCTCCTCTTAGTTACCAACAACATCAACGATTCAGCAACAGCTTCAATAGCCAACAAGAGACGCGTTTCAACGGCAGTGGCTCAGAAAGCCCACTTGCTGGTAGCCCGCAGACAAACATGGGATCCACCCACCAGATAATTCAAAGACTAGAAGATGGGTTTACAGCAACATGGGAAAGAAGCCCGCCACCGTACCCTGGTGCTCAGCTTCCATTTCATGCTGTGACATCATTACCCGGTAATATGTGCGAACTTAATTCTGTTGAAGCCCCCATCAGTCCTAATAACTCCCCTTCAGACTCCACAAGTCTTCTGCAGGTAGAAGCAGAAAGTTCCCAACACAGAAAGCCCAGCTTCAAAAGGTATAAGTCGCTCTCGGTTGAAAAGCATCCACGAGTGTCCAGCATCAAGGATCGGAACTATTCTTCCACAGACAGTCTTCATATTAACTCTAGCGGTCGTCCACGACTCAAGTTTCGAAAGGCTGTGTCTTTAGCAAGTCGCCTTCACGCTAGCCCATCTACCGGACGGAAGCTGGCAAACTATCACCTTATATCCAACTCAAAGCAAGGTTGGTATCTTTGTCTGTTAAACTTGAGCTTGTTGCACTGTTGTTGTTGTTTTTTTTTTTTTTTTTCATCTAAGGTTCCTCTCAGTTAGAGTAATACTTCGTACCTCTTTTAGTTTCATCACTCTCTGTCTGTTAGAGCGTTGTCATATCTTCATGTCTGTTACAATAATGCAATCGCTACCAATCTGCTACGCTGATGTCATCGCTTCTTTTCTGTTACAGTAATGTCAACACTCCATTCCCCATATGTTACAATGATGTCATCACTCCCCATGTTACCAATGCCACCCTTCATTATCTGTTACAGTAATGTCATCACTCCACTCCCATCTGTTACAATGATGTCATCACTCCCCATCATCTGTTACCAATGTCACCTCTCATCTGTTACAGTAATGGCATCACTCCACTCCCATCTGTTACACTCACTCCCCATCATCTGTTACCAATGTCACCTCTCATCTGTTTCAGTAATGTCATCACTCCACTCCCATCTGTTACAATGATGTCATCACTCCTCCACAGTTACAGTGACGACATAGTTCCTAATGTATTAAAATACTGGCATTGCTCTGTTGTTGTTTTTTTAATAGTGATGTCACCGTTCCGTATTTGCAACACAAATTTCATCGCTTTCTATCTGTAACAGCTATGTCATTGTTAACTATCTGCCATTGATTCTTATCTGTTAAAATAATGGCATCGCTCCCCATCTGTTACATTGATGTTATCGCTGTTTATCTCTGACTGTGATGTCGTCGCTCCGTACCTGTTACAGTAATATCATCACTTCCTATTTGTTAAGGTAAAGTCTTCACTCCCTATCCGCAACTCAACTATAAAGACGTAACAAATGTTCTCTAGGCGTAACAAGTGAAAAGTAACATTGTAAACGACAGAGATAGATCTATGGAGCTTGCTTACTATTGTATTTAACCACCTCTCAGTGCAGGTAACGTGCTGATTAAGGGTCATATAGCTAGCCAGTCACATACCACCAAAAGAAAAGGATAATTAAATCGATCAGGAAACTACTAGCTCCAGCACAAGACTACTATTTTATTATGGACAGATCAGAACAAGTCATTATCCCCCGTCTCAGAACAGTTCACAACCGATTACATTTATCAGATATATGTTGATGTTTGTTTTCAAAATCAACCATTTCTGGATACCGCTAGTAAATGTATATGCTATCAACAATCGTATCGTACTATTGGAGATTAATTTAATTTTAATTTTTTCAATCTACAAACAATAATGCCGAGACATTGCAAATTAATTTTTTTTTTTTTAACTTAGGACATACATCTCGATAACTATTTTTTCATTTTGTAAAAGAATCTTTTTAATTATACACGCTAAAAAAATATGTCTTGGCATTGCAACTTAACTTTTCTACATCTAACAATTATGTTTTAAACCTTGCTTTCCCATACGTGAATACACTAGTAAAGTCCACTGTTAACATTAATTATAATCATTTTTTACATAATATTTCAGTAATGTCAATATATACGCAGATAAGTTACAGAACAGGCGTCATATTTATCTCTAGAATTTCATCTTCAAATTCCTAACACACTTAGCTCTTCTTTGTTGTGTTTATTAACAAAGCGTCATCAAATTAATCAGTAGTATGGCTTTTTTTTTTTTTTTTAACTCAACGCAATTTCTAGAATGTAAGCACACGCCAGCTAACTGTGTCCCCTAGGGTTGCAAAATTCTTGAAAATCATCAGGTTCGTCTTTTCCTAAATGCATTACATACAACAACAAACAAGTAAAGTCGGGAAGATGTGAACCAGCGTCACTGCACACGATTATTAACAAAATGTGCTCTGCCCCCAGTACGTTATATACAAGAAGAATGGCTCGATAACCAATACAATCCCTAACCAACGCAGGACTGCAAGGTGTTTCTTCCTGTGGCCGCAACCTGCGACATAATTATAATTTCCTTAAAGGTTAAACTTGATGTCTGGGGTGTGTCCTGTTGGATCATGAGACTGGAGCTGGAGACAGTAACGGCAGCTTTCCAGTGTCTTGCGATCAGCACAGCCGGACATGTAATTGTAATGGACTCAAGAGCAAGCTTTGGAAATTAGAAACTGGCGTCTAACGCGTAGAGTGGCTGGCTTCGCTTGATAGGTAACCGATCAGGAGCATTTTATGGATTTTCTGTACAGGAACTTCGGGTGTGCGGGGTAATGAGCAGCCTGATAGCTTGGTTGCTGCTGATCCTTGATGCGGTGAACTAGTTTAAGTTAAAGCAGGCGTGGTGAAGGCTCTTTGGTGGGATCAATCAATGCAATGCAACCGAACGAATAGAAAATCCATACATTGAAAGACTAAGCAAAATACGCAAAATTACCACCTACGAGATGAGATGCCTGAGAAAAGCAGCCAGCCTAACCATCCGAGATCGAGTGAATAATGAAACTATCAGGCAAATTGTGGGAACGACACCTTGTACTAGATACATCGAGACACAGCAGATCAAGTGGTTTGCCATCTCGTTAGAATGCAGCAAGATCAGATACCATCACGAGCACTACATCTCAGAAGACCAGCTACAAGAGCAAGAGGACGGCTGCGGATCATGGATCGACAATATTAAAGACGCTCCACGCCTTCACGGCATGACAATAGCCAGTGGCTGCCAGCATGGACTGGATCGCAAATTTTTCCTCCCCACGCCGCTTGACGGTAAAAGTGGTTTATGATGATGATGATGATGAAAGACTAAGTTAACAGGGATGACTAGAGGTGGTGGAAGATATTCAATACTGACGAGGAAACATTGGCAGATTTTAATCAGGTTGCAAATGGAACAGTTGGCATCTCAGCTCTTCGTTGGCTACTGAAGAAGCAGATAGAGTACGTACGGGAATTTCCCGATTGTCATGACGCCAATTCTGGATTCATTCATTTATTCGATCCAGAATCCGACACAGGATGTTGCTGACAGGGTCATAGCTGACGACAGTCTAAGGAGGGGTAAACTTACAAATAGAATCCTTTGCGTCGAATGCTATGCCATATGTCATGTCTGTCTCCGCGAAGCAGTTTCTCGTTCTCAGGAGCGTCTGATATATCTTTGTCCCACTGTGTTGTCTTGTGGTCTGCAGCAGAAACTGTTGTCAAGTAAATATATGTCATATTTACTCTTGTGCACACTCTACTTGCAGATAAAACATTTCTCCTGCAGTAGTAGGTGAGTGGACGATAGGGGGGCACATTCATGCGCAGACTCTCCGCGCACGCGCACTGGTGTGACCTGCACGCAAGCAAATGTTCAAGTGTACATGTGATGTCATTATTTCTTGTGTTGTCATATTGTTATCTTTACCAGGGGCGCCGACTCGAAGAAAATATTAGTGGGATTCAGTAACTGAAAACAGAAGCTAAACAATTACAGTAAAACACCGTTAATATGAATTCTCTTAACAGGAATAATTGGTTAACTGGGGAAATATTTAAGTGCCGCAGGAATGTGTTATTCATTATACATATATTAGTTGCCGGTTAGCTCGAATTGTAACAAACAATTCTTGATTTTACGCTTTTGTAGTAATGAGCTTTTGCTGTGTTATAGATGTCAGCTTCGGAGCATTTACAAAAATTAATATGTAGGCATTTAGCATTATAGAGACAATGAGCTTTTTCAAAAGGACTAACAATAATTATTATAATGTGTCGAATGGCGCATAAATATATTAATATATTTGAAATAATGTGAACAGTATAAATGTACCTTTGAAAAGTGAACTTACAAAACTGCATAAGATGACGGGGCGGGGCAGAGGGGGAGGTCAGCTTCATTACAATGTTTCTAGGAGACACAAAAAAGGAGAGGGGGCGCTCTAGGGACCTCAGCTTCAAAACAGCGGCGCCTCTGGTCATCACCTGTGTTGTTTTTTGTGTTTATATATACATATAATCTTATTCCTTGTCAAACTGGCCTTTAACCATGTCTGCAAAGTTCAGCTTGTTCCCGTGATAGTGCTCTCTACACATTTCTTCCTATGATATTCATTGAATTGCAAACAAACCTGCCCTATAAGGTAATTTCTGTGACTGTGGTTTGGGGTTCTGAACTAAGATTCATAATGTCGACATACTTGTTCGAGGTGAGCTGTAAGCGGTTAAGCAGCAGGTAGCTTTTTTTTTAACCACGGTATGAGCGTCGTGTCATTTTGACAGCAATGACAGACTGCCCTCCCCCCCCCCCCCCCCCAATCCAACAAACGCCATTGTGTAAGGGGCGCTCTTTGAGGCTCAGTATTTAAGGCCTCGTGGTAAGTGCTCTCGCCACGGACTGTACAGGTTGAGATTTTAATTTTACCCCCTACAGAAGAAGAAAAAATCAGATGACAGAGGGGTTAAAAAAAAACTGTATACACAAGGAAGCTAAACGGTCGTAGACCACGAGGCAGACCAAGAAGGCGGTGGAGAGATAACATCAAGACAGACCTACAAACAGTTTGTGTCACCAATGTGAAACAGAAGGGAAACCAGAGAGGTGACAAAGGAGTGTAATATCTGCAGTAATGAACCTCAAGTGATCGGAATGTTGAAGAAGAAAAAATTTACGTTCAGTAGTTTGCCGTTGCTCCCTAGACGGTCGGCTCTCGATACCACTATCGGAACCAAAGCAACGTGGTCTGCTGTCAAATCGCCTGTAGCTGGGATAGAACCTGGCGCCCTGGAATTACGAAACGCATTGGCAACGCCTAAACACTGGCAGACTACTAAATGTAAAATTGCGTAGTAAAGATACACAATCGTGAATAGATAATACGGTTGACTTGCTAAGTCATGTAAAAGTTATGTAACACATTTGTCCTATTGTACTTTTGTCCAGATCATTTATGGTATTCCATTATTGGCAGCGTAGGTGTTGTGAACTCGCTTCGTAATGCCGGGGTCCCAGCTGCGGGCCTTGGTTTCGGCAGTGGTATCGAGAAGCGGGCCGTCCTGAAAGCAATGGCAAATACT